GAGCTGGAGAAGGTGAAGGAGCGGCTGGGCGCCTGAAGTCGCCTGTGCAAGTTCCTCACCTTCAGGACAAAGACGTTGGTGGTGAACCAGCTGGTGACGTCCATGCTGTGGCACCGGCTTTTCTCCCTGTACCCCCCATGAGCCTCGTCAACGCACTTCAGAAGCGAGTCCTCGACTTCTTCTGGTCGGGTGGAGGACACTGGGTCGCGGCTGGGGTCCTGGGCCTGCCACTGGACGAGGGCGGTCATGGGCTGGTGTGTATGCGGAGTCAGCTGGCCACCTTCCGACTGCAGGCCCCGCAAAAGTTCCTGCACGCCGTCCTGGCACAGGCCTGGAGCGTCACGGCCTCCTTCCTCCTGAAACAGCTGGGGGGTCTGCAGTGCTCCAAGCAACTATTCTACATGGACCTGCAGGGCCTCCCACTGGGACAGCTGCCACCCTTCTACAGAAGCGTCCTGCAGACATGGAGCTCCCTCGCCGTCAGGAGGCTGAACCAACCGCGATCGGCCGAGGATCTGGTCTTCGAACCGATCCTCAGGAACCCACAGACAAAGCTGCCATCCACCACCGCCACCGCAGGCATGGAGAGGCACCTCGCCAACGCGCGGCTCACTAGGATGGGAGATCTGGTGGAGCCTGAAACTCGGGGCCGGTGGCTCGGACCAGCAGACATGGCCGTAAAGACAGGGCTGCAGTCGCTCCGGGTGGCTGCCCGGATCCTGGCCGAAGCCAAGGGGGCCTTCTCAGCGGCAGCGGGGAGAACGCCCCCCATCAGCGTTGGGGATGACGAGGCCCCTCTTGGTCCCCCTCCACTGGCGCTCTCAGTCGTGCCACTGCATCGCCAATGCCGACAAACGAAGGCAGATCACAACCTGTGCCGGCTGGAAGACCTGCCAGAGGTGGCCTTCGCAAATGTAAAGAGGAAGGTGCTCTACTCCTACATGGTCCCGTTCCACCAACAGGACACCCTGAGGAGCCACAAGGACCATGTCTGGAGGAAAGCCCTGCCCTGCATCTCTCCGGAAAGGCCTCGCTGGAGGCAACTCTACTCCAGCCCGACGTACAACCGCATCGGCGACCTCAGCTGGAGCATCGGCCATGGCACCGTCACCACCAACGCCTCCCTGGCGCGCTTCACCGACACGTCCCCGGAGTGCCGGTTCTGCGGTAAATTGGAGATGGTGGCGCACCAATACGTGGAGTGCAAGAGCCTGGACTCGCTGTTCAAGGTCCTGAAAAACATCCTCCTAAGGTTCAGCCTCCACTTCTCCCCGACGGTCCTCATCTTTGGATACCCGAAGGGCGACGGACCCCAACATCTTCAGGGGGTGGTCAACGTGCTCTTCGGCTACGCCAAGCTCGCCATATACAGGGCGAGGAAGGTAGCCCTGGAGGGGCAACGTCCAGCCAGCAGCCTGGGTATCTTCCGCGCTCTGGTCGGAGCCAGGGTGTGGCTGGAGTTCTGCCATGCGCGGCTGACCCACGCCGTGCCAGCCTTCAAGGAGCAGTAGGCGCTGGAGAAGGCCGTGTGCTCGGTGGCAGATGACGGAGAGCTCTGCATGCAGATCTAAGCTACCCGTCGGAGGCCGTTTGACTGTGGGAAGGGCTGCGTGCAGGTGCAGCACTTGCCCTAGTTATAAAGAAAAAAGAGAGAGAGAGCGAGAGAGTGAGCGAGAGAGCGACATGGAGTAGGAAGAGAGGGGGCAGAGAGAGGGGGGTAGGGGGGCAGAGAGGGGGGTAGAGAGAGAGGAGGGGCAGAGAGGGGGGTAGAGAGAGAGGGAAGGGGTAAGGAGAGCAGAAAAAAGAAAAAACATATTTTGTTGGGTCTTTCATTTAAAAGGCGGCGGGGGGGGGGGTTACATAAAGCAAAGCATAAAAAAAAACAAAAATGAACGAAATGATGAACGGAGCAAAGTGCCGACTACACCGAGCATCTTCTTGTTTCCTCTGATCGTAAAAAAAGAGACGGAGGGAGAGAGACGGAGGGAGAGAGACAGAGGGAGAGAGACAGAGACAGCAAGCGACGGAGAGAGACAGCGAGCGACGGAGAGAGACAGAGACAGTGAGCGATGGAGAGAGACAGTGGGAGGCAGCGAGCGACGGAGAGAGGGACAGAGACAGCGAGCGACGGAGAGGGACAGAGACAGCGAGCGACGGAGAGAGACAGTGGGAGACAGCGAACGACGGAGAGAGACAGAGACAGCGAGCGACGGAGAGAGACAGAGACAGCGAGCGACGGAGAGAGACAGAGACAGCGAACGACGGAGAGAGACAGAGACAGCGAGCGACGGAGAGAGACAGAGACAGCGAGTGACGGAGAGAGACAGAGACAGCGAGCGACGGAGAGAGACAGAGACAGCGAGTGACGGAGAGAGGGACAGAGACAGCGAGCGACGGAGAGAGACAGAGACAGCGAGTGACGGAGAGAGGGACAGAGACAGCGAGCGACGGAGAGAGACAGAGACAGCGAGCGACGGAGAGAGACAGCGAGCGACGGAGAGAGACAGAGACAGCGAGTGACGGAGAGAGACAGAGACAGCGAGTGACGGAGAGAGACAGAGACAGCGAGCGACGGAGAGAGACAGAGACAGCGAGTGACGGAGAGAGGGACAGAGACAGCGAGTGACGGAGAGAGACAGAGACAGCGAGTGACGGAGAGAGGGACAGAGACAGCGAGCGACGGAGAGAGACAGAGACAGCGAGCGACGGAGAGAGACAGAGACAGCGAGCGATGGAGAGAGACAGAGACAGCGAGTGACGGAGAGAGACAGAGACAGCGAGCGACGGAGAGAGACAGAGACAGCGAGTGACAGAGAGAGGGACAGAGACAGCGAGCGACGGAGAGAGACAGAGACAGCGAGTGACGGAGAGAGGGACAGAGACAGCGAGCGACGGAGAGAGACAGAGACAGCGAGTGACGGAGAGAGGGACAGAGACAGCGAGTGACGGAGAGACACAGACAGCGAGCGACGGAGAGAGACAGAGACAGCGAGCGACGGAGAGAGACAGAGACAGCGAGCGAAGGTGAGAGACAGTGGGAGACAGCGAGTGACGGAGAGAGGGACAGAGACAGCGAGCGACGGAGAGAGACAGTGGGAGACAGCGAGTGACGGAGAGAGGGACAGAGACAGCGAGCGACGGAGAGACAGAGACAGCGAGCGAAGGAGAGAGACAGTGGGAGACAGCGAGCGACGGAGAGAGACAGAGACAGCGAGCGACGGAGAGAGACAGTAGGAGACAGCGAGTGACGGAGAGAGGGACAGAGACAGCGAGCGACGGAGAGAGGGACAGAGACAGCGAGTGACGGAGAGAGGGACAGAGACAGCGAGCGACGGAGAGAGACAGAGACAGCGAACGACGGAGAGAGACAGAGACAGCGAGCGACGGAGAGAGACAGAGACAGCGAGCGACGGAGAGAGACAGAGACAGCGAGCGACGGGGAGAGACGGTGGGAGACAGGGGAGGCAGCGGAGCGAGCGAGACGAGCGAGCTGCGGCAAACAGAGGAACTGCGAAGTTATAGACGGAATGTGGAAAGTTGTGTCGGAGAAAAGAATAAAGTTGTCCGCGTGAAGTCGACCACTACACAAGTACAGGCAGTCATCGACTTACGAACGCCCGCCTTATGAACGCCCGCACTTACGAACCAGCTTCTATGAAATATATATTTTTACAGTCACTTGCAAACGGAACCGCAGAACTATTTTGTTCAGCGAGATGTAATGAATCAACCTCGCACGGGAAATGAGTGTGCGCGCGTGGTGTTGGCCACCCACCCCCTCGTGTGTCACAGTGCCGGCCTTCATCGGTGCTGCTCGCTGACAGCACTTGCTCCAACAGCCTTTTCAGGCTATATGGGGGATCTTTGTGTCTGTGTGTGGAGCGGTGGTGTAATGGTTAGCGCGCTGCGCTTCCAACCCGGCGACCCGAGTTTTATACCTGTTCACGGCCAGCACCAGTGACGATTATCTGATTGGGTCCTGGGCCAACCCGAGATCGACAAATGAGCATCTGGTGCAGTGTGTAAACATCGTCGCTTGCACAGTCAAATGTGGCCGGGCGTGGTGCTGCCCGCTCACCCCCTTCTTGTGTGCCACAGTGCCGGCCTTCATCGGTGCTGCTCGCGAACAGCACTCGCCCCCACCAGTCTGTTGGGGCTCCACATGGGTCTTGTTTGTGTGCGCGTGCCCCGCGCGTGAGTCCAATTGTGGGTGATTCATTGCGACCCTTCCGACGAGCAAGCCAGCATCAGGACTCGAGGAAAGTGAAAATGAAATGTTTCTATTTGTTACGTTTTTTCATGTTTTATTTACATACGGTATGTATTACGTGAAACTTTATATTTCATCTTATTATGAATGTTTTATTTACATACGGTATTTATTACGTGAAAATTTATATTTAATCTTATTTATTATGAGTGTAACAATGCTTCCCTTTTTTGTTGAACCGTAGCACATTTCATCACTCACCGTATGGGCATTTAAATACAAAACATTCACGCGTTCCGACCTACGAATTATGTTCGTAAGTCGAGGACTGCGCTAGATTTGCACTAAATACAAGTTTTAGGATCGATACTTTGTTATTATTGAAGGAGGGCTTGCCTATTGCTCAAAAGCTATGTATATATACCCATGTAAAAACGATTAGCATGAAACATTTTGGCGAATGTAATCTTCATCAGACCCCCACGGTGTTGTCTCCAACTCGTATTATATACTCCATCTCTGTCCTCTTTATTTGCTATGCAAGAAGGTCCTTTGCCCGAAACGTCGCCTGTTAAACAGTTTTCTCTCTGAATGCCTCCCAGGTGTGGGCGTGGAGATTGAACCTCGCGGGGGGAGGGGAGCCGAGGGGGCGGGGGAGTCGAAAAGCGAAGAGTCGAGGGGGGCGGAGCCGAGGGGGCGGGTAGTCCAGGGGGCGGGGGTGTTGAGTGGGGCGGGGGAGCCGAGGGGGCGGGGAGTCGAGAGGGGGAGGGGTGCCGAGGGGGCGGGGCAGTCGAGGGGGCGGGGCAGTCGACTTGGGGACTTCGCGGCGCCATGGCGGCATCCAGGGCCATGTGGGAGAGCGGCGATCCCGGGGCCCGCGCCGCGCTGGGTGAGACGAGGGGAGACCGCTGGGGACCACGAGACACGAGACCACGAGACCACGAGACTAGTAGACCACATGACTACGAGACCACGAGATACGAGACTACGAGACCACGATACCCCGAGACCATGAGACTACGAGACACGAGACTACGAGACTACGAGACCACGATACCCCGAGACCACGATACCCCGAGACCACGAGACTACGAGACAACGAGACCACGAGACTACGAGACAACGAGACCACGAGACCGAGACACGAGACCACGAGACTACGAGACAACGAGACACGAGACCACGAGACACGAGACTACGACACCACGAGACTACGAGATACGAGACCACGAGCCTGCACGACCCGCGGGCCTTGCTGCGGCTCCGTGTTCGCCGAGTTGCGGCTGTAATCGCGGGGCCTTGTTCTCGACCCCGCTCTAAGAAGTTACGCGGCCAGCAGCTAGGGGGGGGGAGGATGAGGTGGGGGGGGAGGAGGAGGTGGGGGGGGGAGGGGGTTGGGCGGGGGGGGGGATGAGGCGGGGGGGGGAGGAGGCGGCGGGGGGGAGGAGGCGGGGGGGAGGAGGCGGGGGGGAGGAGGCGGGGGGGGGAGGAGGCGGGGGGGGGAGGAGGCGGGGGGGGAGGAGGCGGGGGGGAGGAGGCGGGGGGGGGAGGCGGGGGGGAGGAGGCGGGGGGGGGGGAGGCGGAGGGGGGGAAGATGATGCGGGGGGGGCGGGGGGTGTTGCTCGCGCGCCTCAGCCCAGAGCGAGTGGTGGTGAGGGTGGCGAGGCAGATAGACGAGGAGGGCGACACCCGTAGACGCACGGCAGCAGTAGGCCACTCTCCGTGGACATTTAGCTGGCCGCAGATTCATCTCGTGGCAGAGGTTAAACGGGGCGAGTGTGGCCGGCTGTATGTATGCGCGTTTCACTTCTTTCGCACCGTACGTAAGCCGACCGCGCGCATCGCTTCTCGCCCCACTGTGCCGTTTGTTGAACGCTTCGCTCGTCCTCGAGATTTAACCTCCACCTTCCACCCCCTCCACCTCTCACCCCCTCCACCTTCCACCCCCTCCACCTCTCACCCCCTCCACCTTCCACCCCCTCCACCTCTCACCCCCTCCACCTCTCACCCCCTCCACCTTCCACCCCCTCCACCTCTCACCCCCTCCACCCCCTCCACCTCTCACCCCCTCCACCTTCCACCCCCTCCACCTCTCACCCCCTCCACCTTCCACCCCCTCCACCTCTCACCCCCTCCACCTTCCACCCCCTCCACCTTCCACCCCCTCCACCTCTCACCCCCTCCACCTCTCACCCCCTCCACCTTCCACCCCCTCCACCTCTCACCCCCTCCACCCCCTCCACCTCTCACCCCCTCCACCTGCCCCCTCTCACCCCCTCCACCTTCCACCCCCTCCACTTTCCCCCTCCCACCCCCTCCACCTGCCCCCTCCAGTGCAGTTCGCCAATGGAGAACCGGCGAGCGCGGGAGGCATCGGTCTCTCGGTGTTCACGAGCACGGAGCGGGAGCACCCGCGTAAGAAGCACCGCGCCATCGTGGTGAGGAGACACACAGCCCATCTCGCCCCCACCACCCCTCTCTTAACTTGGGAGCCACACGGGTATTATTTCATCTGATAATATTTTTCACCCGGAAAACCCTCCCGAGATGGAACGTGGGTTACGTTGAATTTCTCTCGCACCGTTCGTTGCCAAACGTCAAATTTGCGTGAGGTTTCAACCAGGTGAGGTTTCAACCAGGTGAGGTTTCAACCAGGTGAGGTTTCAACCAGGTGAGGTTTCAACCAGGTGAGGTTTCAACCAGGTGAGGTTTCAACCAGGTGAGGTTTCAACCAGGTGAGGTTTCAACCAGGTGAGGTTTCAACCAGGTGAGGTTTCAACCAGGTGAGGTTTCGGAATTGGCTATTGACCCATTGTTTACCAAACAGATCACACGCAAACATTTCAGATTTATAACCAATGCCACGTTATACATGTACAATGAACCGATAAACCCAGTCCCAACACACGACTAAATCGCATGAATGATCAAATGGTGCACACTACCGTTTCACGTAGATTTTAGAATGCTGTCCAGCTCTAACCATTGCGAATGTACGTTTTAATAAGGTGAGACTGAAAAAAGAATAGGCTTTACCCTTTACAGCATTAATAAAGGTGTTAAGATATTCAAACAGCAAATAGTAAGCTTTTACAAGACTTAAAGTCTCCACTAAACCCTAGTTTTTTCATAATTTTGATACTGGGTAAAAATTGTTCCGTAAGGTGAGGCTAACAGCATAAGCTAGTGAGTGGGAGATTGCTGCATGCTGATTTATGTGTGTATGTTGAGCTTCTTTCGCACCGTACGTAGCCAACTGTACTAATCGGAGGTGCGGGGGAAAGACAATGAGCTGTGGGTTTGAGCGTGAGTGTGCATGTTTGGGTCGCTATTTTGGAGACGGTTCGAGAAATATGGGTCACTCGCGTCCTTTGACCGACCCCCATTTGTGTTGCAGGTGGCACAAGCGGAGCATCTGTACTACGTGGGACAGAACTTTGGCGTGAATACGTCACGGTGCAACAGCCTGTGTAGGTGAGGTGGAGCCTGGAAGCTTGACTTGTGTACACGTGTAAATACCGCGTAAGTGCCCATATCCGGCCGAGAAGCCTTTACGCAGTGGAGCTAGACCTGTACACAACTTTAAATCCGTTGACGTTGAGTCCAACTGTGCCGGGCACTTCAAAGTGTGCAAAGAAAGGAGTGTGGTGGATGGCCGTGCCTCTGCTGTGGCAGGTACTACGTGGGCGTGCTGGACAAGGAGGATGGCAAGATGAGGGTATACAACGCGCAGCACTTCATGATGCAACCCAATATCCAAGGTGGTGCCGCCAAGCCCCCGACTCGCCCACTGCAGACCGCGGCACCTTCATTGCATTGGCTCAAAAACAAAACCCAAATGAGACTTGTAGTACTACGAGCAGCCAATAATATGTGTGACCAATGTTGCCAACAGGAGAGAAAGAGTACGAGCCAAAGAAGAAATCAGAAGGCTCGTATAGAGATAAGGTGATGGCATGCACCTGAATCCACATTGCACTTGCATTGTCGGTTGTTGGGTTTGTGTGGTCATACGCAATGACTGATGAACATGTGTATGGTGGTGTATGATGACTGGTGTATGGATGTTGAACTTCTTTTGCACCATAAGTAGCCAGCCGTGCTAATTGGAGGTGCATTAACATGTTGGTGCACCAACCTGCTGTGTGTGCGTGATAACTGGTACGTTTGTGTGTGTGGTGCTGTGTGATGACGTATGTGTGTGTGGTTCTTTCGTGCAGGTTGACGCTTTGATCGAGGCCTTTGGGAGCCACAAGCAGAAACGTGCGCTCTCAGCGCGTCGCATGAACCAGGTGGGCGGTGAGAGCCTTCAGAAGGCCGTCTCCACCGTGGCTCAGCAAATCATCGAAACCCGTGGCTCCGAGTGTGAGTGCGCTCGCTCGCGTACACAACATCATGTTCTTCTCCACGCTTGTGAATATGCCACTCTCATGTGTCGCAATGTGTAAGGTTTAACAACAATAATCAACACAAAATGTCAGCAACCTTTGGTCTGTTTTGACCACTAAGAGTCTGAGGCGATCAGATTGCGGATTATGAATATTGTACAAAATTATTCCAGTACACTGTGTGTGTGTATGCACTTTGTGTGTGTATGCACTTTGTGTGTGTATGCACTTTGTGTGTGTGTATGCACTGTGTGTGTGTATGCACTGTGTGTGTATGCACTGTGTATGCACTGTGTATGCACTGTGTGTGTATGAACTGTGTGTGTATGCACTGTGCACTGTGTGTGTATGCACTGTGTGTGTATGCACTGTGTGTGTATGCACTGTGTGTGTATGCACTGTGTGTGTATGCACTGTGTGTGTATGCACTGTGTGTGTATGCACTGTGTGTGTATGCACTGTGTGTGTATGCACTGTGTGTGTATGCACTGTGTGTGTATGCACTGTGTGTGTATGCACTGTGTGTGTATGCACTGTGTGTGTATGCACTGTGTGTGTATGCACTGTGTGTGTATGCACTGTATGTGTGTGTATGCACTGTGTGAATGTGGGCTCTCTTGTACGTGCACGCACGTGTGTGCAGTCCTGACACGTGAAGTGCAGCGGGTGGAGGCATTCGAGCAATCGACCTACCTTCCACCGTGCAACCCCAAAGCCACCTCTCCGGACGAGGCCTACAAACTCAACGACAGTATCCTCTGTGTCGCCGGCTGGGGCTGTAAGGTCAGGGGTAAAGGTTTAAGGTCAGTGTAACAGTGAATGGGGGTCCCCACGTCTCAATTTTTTTTCCTGAGGTATTTCTGTCAGTCATCACAGAGATGGAACTTGAGGCAGCGGAGGAAGCGAGCTCCAAATACTTGGAGCTAATGAAGTCTGGCACGAAATCCGTCACACAAGACACCACGTGCGTATGGTACCGACAAAGGGAGCGTGATCATAATGCCTCAGCTAAACACTGCACTGCCTCTCCTTCACCTCGGTGGAGAATGCCTGCTGCATAGACACTGCGCATGACGGGCTGCTGGCTGTGCATCAAGAGAGCGGCGTGTGCGTGCGCCCACTCGCAGGTTGAGTGCACTTGCCATCGGGGCGATACGAGTCACGCCTAATGATGCCTCTATCCGCAAATTACGGGCTGGACTCGTGTGGTACCTGGACACCTTGGTCCACTTGTTCCAGCTGAAGAAGAAGAAGTTCTCCTCCAGAGGTATTGTGGCATTTTGCACATTCGCAGCTATAGCACTTTCCCTGCATGCACAGTGCCTCGGTCATAATGTGCTGTCGGTTCAGTTTTGAGTGGAGAACACCGGTGTTGCTTGTCATTCAGATACTCTGGGTGACCACATGCCGCCTCTGCTGAGGACCAAGATCCTTGAGTGCTTCACAACGGTCTCCTTCGACAATGGCAGGTCAGAGTGGAATCCATTTGGCGGCCTCCACACAGTGGTGCCGATGTTTCTGGTGGTGCGCACGTGACGCCGTGCTTCAGTCATGTCCGGTTGTGCAGGGTGCAGAATGCCATGACCCCAGCGCTACGGGACAAGATCATTGCGTACGTGCTGGTGCTGGCGCTGCACCTGAACTCGTTCTCAATCAACCTCTCGCTACTGCAGAAGGACTTCAAGGTCAGCGAGAAAAAGTAAGTGATGGGGTCTGGAGCTGTGAACATTTGGTGTCATCCAGATGGGTTTAAGTTGTAACACTAACTGCTTTTCTTTGGATCCTAATTGACTCAAGATCGCTGATTGCAAGTTAAATTGACGGCTTGGGAGCTTTTTTGAGTGCCTTCATCAGTGGCCAGGAGCGTCGTGTATGTGTGTTTGTTGGAAATCCTGTAAGAGGTTATTCTATATTTTCTATGCAGCATTCAAATGGCCATGCACATGTGGCTAAAGCAAGCAGCAACGAAAATGTCGACCACTACAACAGCACAATGGTCAAACCTGACGGCCACCTGCAGAGGGTCACCCTCTCGGGACATATGTCGCGATCATCGACTCATCTGTGTCGTGCTCAATCGCACTTGACTTCGTTTGTGTCGTGACTGCCCTCACAACCATGCCACCTGTTTTGCTCTGCCCTTTTCAGGATCCTGGAGGTGGCGCGTGCTCTGGGATTGAAGATCAAACAAACCCGAGCGACGAGCTCCACCACGGAACACAAGTCCCGCATAGCTGAGTTGGCTGTACCCCTCACCATGCCCGTTGCCTCTCACGAGCGCAAGCGCAAAAGATAGGAACCCACCTGCCCGGTGTCACCGACGCATCACACATGCATGCATGAGCGCTAGCTCTGCACAGAGGGGGAAACCAAGCGATGGCTTAATCCGATCCTCCAGTGCATCAATTCAACTCTGGGAGGAGACTGGGTTCGGCAGCGTGAGACACTCACGAGAGACTTGGGTAGTACGACCTGTTCGCAGAGGGCAGGAGCAAGGAGTATGGTTCGAGACTTCACTGTAACGTTATTTTTTTTCTAATAAAGTTTTGAATTTGCACATTGGCTGCTGAGTGATATCATTTAAGGCAAGCATTGCCATTTGGACCATGAAGTTGTGTGTTCATAATTAGACTGACAAGAAGTGAAACACACAGGTTAGAGAACACGCACGAGTTGGAAAGTTGTCTTGGGAAGGACATGTCGGTGGAAGGGATGGTGGGCTAGTGGTCGAGGCTGCTAACAGAGTGGCAGCCAAGGGAGTGTCCACATTAGAGATGGAGTGGTTAGATCAGTTAATTCATAAAGGTTTTTGGGTTAGATCGCGTTATAAATGTGTCGTAACCCTCCACCACCTGACACGGCCAATCAGCAAAAAAGTGTCACGTTGACAAAAGACATAGTTCACTACTTTAGCCCACCGGTGTGTTGAGTGAATCCACAACATTTACAGTTTTGAGTACAACGTTTCGCTGGTAATTACATCCAGCATCATCGGGCAATTTGCCAGAATGGTAAAGCCCTCACTTGCTCCCGGTCTTAAATAGAGCAGCAGGGTGACGTCATCATTTAACTCATTCAGGTGCAGTGATTTGAGGCGGAGGGGGGGGGGTATTGTAATTATATAATCGATTGGTAATCAGTCAATGGTTATGATTAGTAATGAGTTGTAGATTAGCCGATGTGTTAAACTAGATCAGTTAATGTGCATGTGCATTGTTGCTTCACCCGGCGACCAGAATTTTATTCTTGCTCACGACTAACACCAGTGACATATCTGAATCGGTTCTAGGCCTCCCCCAGGTAGACTCGGCCTCAAATTAGTACTTTGTGCAATGTGTAAACATTGCCACTCGGGAGACAAAGGCGGCCACCCACTCCCTTATGTGCCGTTCCGGCCTTAATAGGTGCTCGCCAACCGCAGCCTGTTAAGGCTCCACCCGATTCAAGAGCCGAATGGCTCACAGGGCTATACCAAATAAATGAAACTGAAAACTGAATTGTAATGCATCTGAATGACGTCACGCGAAATTGGGCTGAGGTGGGAGGGGTTAATGTCATAGAAGTTGGGGTGTGGAAGAGAGTGCTGTATTGACGTCACGCGAGATTGGGGTGGTGTGCGAAGGGTTGCATGACCTCACGAGACGAAGGTGGACAGGGGAGGAGTGATGACGTCACCCAACACTGCTGAGTTGCAGTAGAGGTATAGTGACGTCACACGACATTAAGGCGAGGAAAGGGGGTGACGTCACGAGACGGGGGTGAGAAGAGGGGTTGATGATGTCATTCCACTGGACATCTGTGAAAAAGAGTTGCTTAACTCAAAATGACTCCTCCAGTCGAAAGAGAGATTCTGCCGATCATCCAGGCAAAGGACCTTCCCTTACACTGGGGGTTCCAGTTCAACGCAAAATTATGAAATGTAACTCAAAATAATCATGAGCATCGTAGAGAAATCAAGTTATGTATAAATAATAAATATTATGATTTTGAGTGACGACGTCGAGACGCGGGAGTGGTGAGGAGAGGGGGCTGGTTATGACGTTACGCGACATGGCGCGGTGTTGGAGAGGGAGTGATGACGTCACGCGACACCGGTGAGTTGCAGGAGAAGGGTGATGACACTATGCGACATTGGGGTGAGGTGAAGGAGAGCAGTGATAACGTAACGCGGGATTAGGGTAAGTGAAAAAGGGTATAATGACGTCAAAAGATCCTATGGAGAGAACGAGGCTTAATGACGTCACGAGATTGGGGTGAGTTTGTGAGAGGGCGTGATTACGTCACGAGACCCGGGGTGGCGAAGTGGAATCATTAGTTAATTAAGCCGTCAGTCTCTTCACATATTTATTGTCGAAGTTCCGCGGCTTCCCGCTCCTAAAACACAAGCGACCGTTCCTCATGGCACCAAAGGAGACCCCCTGAACGGCGCCCCGCGCTCTGAATGCGGCGTTAACACGAGGCCCTGGAATGTGAATTACCCCCCTCCCCACGCATCCCCCGCGGTTGCTATGGGGGGTGGGGGGGGGCGAGGTTTACCGGTCACGTGTCCCCGATGACCCGGAAGTTGAGATTCTCCCGCCAGGCGCGCCTCTCCGGCATGAGTTAGAGTTGGGGATCCACTCCCCCCGAGCGGACGGTACGAGGGAGGAGACGAGGCGCAACCATGAACTACATGCCCGGCACGGCGAGCCTCATCGAGGACATCGACAGTGAGTGGCGTCCCGCGTAAGGGTCTCCGCGGAGGTTCAAGCACTAGCCTGCAACCGCTGCCGGCAAACGCGTGTTGGGGGAGGGGGGCTGCGGAGAATCCCTAGGGGGAGCCAGAGATCGGCGTGGTGTGATGGTCTTGGTTGATGGTGGTGGTTATGATGATGATGGTGGTGCTGCTGGTTGACGCAGCTTTAAACGAGTATTGGTAGAGTTTTTAAACAGCGTTGAAGAGATGGAGGCGGCCGGGCGTGGTGCTGCCCACAACACGCCCGAGCCTTAATAGGTGCTCGCGAACAACACTTGTCACAGCAGTCTGTTAAAGGCTATATTGGAAGATCTTTGTTTTTGCTGGTGGTCGCTGAGGTTAGTAAAGATGGTGTTGGTCTCGATGGTCGTGTTGATGTTGCGTGTGGTGGTGATGGTGCCATGGTATTTGTGGTCGTGATTGGGGTGATTTTGTTGGTGATGATGTTGACGATGGTGGTGGTGGTTGTTGGTGGTGGTGATTTGTCGTTATCATTACACGCGTTTACCCAGGAAAGCCTCACTGAGACTCAACTTTTTTCAGGAGGGGCGCAACGGGGGCGAGATGTTAACTACCTCGCCTTGTAAACAGGTGGTCTTCGTGGGTTTGATCCCGACCCTGTGGCCGCGTGGATTTTTCTCCAGGTCCTCCGGGTTTTCACTCCACATTTAGAAACATGCGTTTCGAGTATTTGGCTGATGTACACGATAAGCCACTTCGTTGACCTATCATTTGTGGCCAGGTCGTTTCTGAAAAGTAGCTATTGTACATACCTAAGTGGGCCTTGCCTGGTAACATAAAATAGTCGTAAATAAAATAAAACATTAGTTAAGATTTTTTTCAGTTGGGTGCGACAATTGCTGTTCCCAATGAAGTAAATTGCGCATAATTTTTTTTTAATTTGGACCATGATGCCGGCGCACAATGGCATACTCTTCTCAGAATGACGTCACGGGATGTTAACATCCACTGTCAAGCAGACTGTGTGCCTATGATGGTTAATACACCCGCATGATGATGGCAGGTGGTCGTGGTTATGGTTTTGATGGTGGTAATTGTTGGTGATGCTGCTGGTAGGGATGATGATGGTGGTGATCCTGTTGTTGGAAATGATGGTGGTTGTCGGTGATACACTTGTCCTGATGATGGTGGTGATAATAATGGTGATTCTGGTGGTGGTGATTATGGTGCAGGTTGGTGGTAATGATTTTGGTGCTCGGGAAGATGGTGTTTTGGAAGTAATGGTGATGGTGGTGTTTTATATCCTCACGGCTTCTTCTTGTGTCCCCAGAGAAACACCTCGTGCTGCTGCGGGACGGGCGCACGCTCATCGGCTTCCTTAGGAGCATTGACCAGTTCGGTGAGGCCTCCCGCACTGTCAAGGAGATGTGAGCCTTGAACCATGGCAGGGGACGAAGCAGTTTCTCCGCTCGAGTTGAGAGTCCTCGTTGACGATGGTGGTGGTTACAGATGTGTAGGGAGCAGTAATGTAGTGGTTAGTGCGCGCTGCGCTACGAACCTGGCGTCCCGAGTTCAATTCCCGCTTATAACTGTTCACAGTGGTGGATGTTTGAACCGGTCCTGGTCGGCTTCTCCTAGGTCTACTCAAATGAGTACCTGGTGCGACGTGTCCACATTAGCACTGGGGAGACAAAGGCGGCTGAGCGTGGTGCTGGCCACCCATCCCCTCGTATGTTGGCCTTCATAGGTGCTCGCTAACAGCACTTGTCCCAAAAGTCTGTTAAGATTATGAGGGGGATATTTTCCTTTGGTCAGGGCGGTTATGGCTGGGAGATGCTAATGCATTCACGCCTAGCTCCGCTCGCATTGTGAGTCAAATGTAAAGGACAGAAAACGCCTGGAAAGGGCAGTGTCCCAAGGACGTTGGCCATGTGAAGTGGCTCACTCCGGTGAGTTGCGCAGGGATGCGCCTCATTTGCCACTAGAGGGCGCCCTGCTTCAGGTGCGGCCTTCATAGGAGACTAAAGAAGCGGACTGTCTCTTTCACATATTCGTTTATCCGCATAAAAAAAATTAAGTATGTCTTACACAATCCATAGGTTGCACGGCCTTCAGGGAGTGCATTAATTCAGCAGCATTGTTTGTAGATAAGTATTGACTGGTTCGTCTTATCAGCAGTCAGATTTGCTTGAATCAGTGCTGGTGAACTGCCGATCTTCCAGGCAAGAGCTCTCCCCTCACACTGTGGGGTCCCAGTCCGATTCAAAATTATATGATACGTCACTCAAAATAATCATGAGAGTCATGGAGATTTTTTTGTGTATAAATAAAATAATTGTGTAAGAAGTTCCATTTTTACGTGGAAAGATTGATATCTGAAGGAGACTATTTTATTTATATTCTTCACAACAACGCTAATGAATATTTATTCAGAGGTTATTTCAACCCCTCTCGTGGTACAGTAATACATTTGCGATCACATAGAGAAGCTGTGCTGGTTCTGGCTAAGTTATCACTACAGTTCAATCAGACCAAGAGTTGTCATGTTTCCTCCAGACACATTATCTTGATGGCTACTTCTGACATTTTCATAATTTCCCCCCACTAGTTTTGTAATTAAAATATCCCCACTGAATAAAGTTGCGGTGATGCTTCATTTGGCACAAGTGCTTCTCATTGCTTCTCCAATGATGTCTGTGTGACTAACAGGCGCCACCGGCCGCTGTGCACCGTACGAAAAATAATGCCAGTTAATTTTGTAACCTATGGTGGATGAACGTGACTGCCTTGTTCAGTGTTGTGAGACCAACTGTCTTAATTTATGTGGCAGTGGCACTTGGTGTTATCTGCATCAAATACCT